CTAGTTGGAGATTATTTCTCTGGACCTTGGTAAAATAGGCTAAAACTCTTCCCTGGACATTACTGAATGTACCTGCTGCTACACCTTATTTAGTCCTCCCTCTTCCTGGCAACACAGTTGGCCTTCTTCCAACTTGGCTTTCCCAAGCTTCATGCCCAGAGACACACACATCCCTTTCCTCCCATCTGGAAATTTCTGCTCACTTCTCACAAGTCCTCTTCCCAATGGCCTTCAAAGAGTCGCTTAAGACCTTCCCCTGTGGACTATGGAAAGATACCCTGAATGCCATTTCCTCCATTATGCCCTTAGTTCTTTCTGTTTTCAGTCCACCTCCAGAGCTCTTAGAACCTGTTAGCAGTATATCATACCCAATGTGCTGTAATACAGAGATAGCAAAGAATGCAGGGCCAGTGGTAGGAATGGATTTTTCCAGTTCCACCCACATTCTGCCATTCAGTCTCCTTATGATGAGGATTTGCCAGCAGAGGCTGGTAGTGCAGGCCAACCATGGAACAACATGAAGCTCATCACAGCTCAGTCGAAGAGATGCAGCCTGTAGCAAGCAGTGCATTGTTTCATACATTCCTGTCCTTGATCTTTATGCACATTTGAATTTCATCTTTTCTCCTGGTGGCAGGTATTTCCATAGGCTTTGTGCTTGCATATGTTAAGGAATGTTACATAGTTGAAAGATGATAATAAAAGCAGCTAATAGTTATTGAGAACTTAAAATGTTGTAGGCATTCTTTTAAGCATTCATTTAATATGTATTAAACTCATTAACTCATTTAATCCTTGCAACAATACTATGACATAGGCATCATCCTATCTTATGGTTGAGGAAATGAAAGCACAGGGAGATTGATTAGGTTACTTTCCCAGGACCAAACAGCTAGTAAATGCCAAAATACACACTCTTAACCCTGAGCCTGTGATCACTCTAGGCTTTGGAGTCATATAAGACATGCAAAGCTAGTGAACATTGATTAGACTAGAGAGGCAGTTCAGTTATCTATTGTCTCATTAAACTTGATTTGAAGGAGTGACTCAGAAAGAAAGTTCATAGGGCTTAGAAATTTAGTTATAGGTGAGACCTTAGAGGTCATGTCATCAAGGAACCTGAGGCCCTAGAGCAGTTAAATGAGAATCCTATGTACTTCATCTTATCTGACCTGGATTGTCCTATCAAGGCTGCCAACAGGAATGAACAGGGAGTAGGACTTAGGTTGTGTTGTGTATTCATAATGTTCCAGGTGCCAAACAGAATCCTCATGAAGTAGTTTTGCCTCTGTGGAGTTTTCTATACTAGGACATGGCTGTGGTTTTAATAGTTTTTGTTATTAAAATCATCAGAAGGTAAATGTGTACTACAATGAAAACCTTTCTATTTTATATGAAAGAGAAACTTTGAAAAAGATTTAGCAACTAGCTTTTATTTAGAAATGCCATATCATCTAATGTAAAATTTGTTCATAATCTAAATCTGAAACTTTCAGAATTATTTTATTAAGATCTGGAAAAGTAATTTGACATACTGATCTATAAAAGTGTGAATTACCCTGGGGATTAGGAGGTGAGTTTCTGTAGTAATTAGGTGTGCCAGAAATAATTCCCTCCCTTCCTCCACCTCCTTCTCCCTCCTTTTCTACATTTACTTATATTGGTCTTGGTCTCTCATGTCATTCTTCCGGGATTGTCTCATATAATGAATTTCTCTTCTTCTACCCTAGAAAAGTACCACTGTTTCCATTATCTCATGGACCTATAAGTGTGTGCATTTTGTCGATCTTGTGGTGTTTCAAAGAACTGTCAAATCTCAGATCAGGAATGCCCAGGAAAATGGAATTTTAATGGACTTGGTTTTTCACTTGAACTGAGGGTTAATCAGGACCCTTTTCATCACAGCTTCTCAACTTTTTGGTTGTAAATTTTTTCCTAATCCATGAATGCACTCTCCAGACTTTGATGAAATGAGAGGCTATTTGGTAAAAAATATAAATTGAGTGGCAATTAATAAGCCCTGTGTTCAAGTCTACATGTTTTCACTTGCTAGCTCTTTGGTCCTGGGGAGTTATGGATCTTCAATAAACCATCTGTAAAATGGAGAAAGTAACACTTGTTTTACCCACCTTATCAGGGCTGTAGAGTGTATTGAATTAGATAAAGAGAGTGGAAGTGCTTTGAACAAGTCTTAGGTTTTATCTTGATGAAGATGACAACAACCAAGTTTTGAGTGCCTAGGGGCCACGTGCTCTATACATATTATTGTTATTTTGTAACAAGCCTAAAATGTATTACTTTTTTTATAGATGAGAAAAGTGAGGCTTGGGAGATAAGTGAATTACCCAAGATTACAGAAATAGCAGTGAACCAATTTCCTTTATAACAAATTGCTTCTTGATTAATCAAAGGCTTTTATCCTGAGTACCAGTTCTTACAGATGAGGTATAGAAGATTGGTCAGAAGTCCTAACCTTAGGATGCATTATTTTGCTTAGGATACTTTGAGTTACAAGGAACCTTAGGTTTCCCAGAGATTTCGGAAAAATCCAAGGACAGTAACTGAATTACAGTTGGGTCTAAAGAAGAGTTGTTATGAACCAAAGCTGCTCTTGCCTACGCCCACCTCCTCCTCTCTCTGGCCACATGATCAAAACATTCCTTTTGTGTGTTGCCCCTACCCTCTTGTCTCTGTTGCTTGGCTCCCTTACACTGTACCTTGCACATGGCCCATAATAGGAACTCAGACTTTGCTATTTCATGGCACCTGCTGAAATGTCTGTTTGGTTTTTGCTCTTACCGCTAAATGAAAACTTCCCCAGAGTTTCCTGGTTCAGATTTCTGAGGGAGGAATCTGACTGACCCAACTCATCTCTTCTACTCAGATCCCAGGTCATTGCTGATAAGCCCATGGATTAGCTGTCTTTGCACCAAATGTTCTCTGCTGGTTATGCCCACTTAGCAGAAGCTATAGGAAAAGTAGGAAATGAGAATAATATGATAGCTATGTCTGTTATATCAATTATGGAAGGTGATTTTGCTTTGTTTTGGGAATTCCCAGTATTTTTCCTACCTTTATTGAGATATAATTGGTGTATAACCCTAATATTTTATTGTTACCTTTTAGCCCTTATTCCTTTTTTTTCCAAAATAGCCCTGCTTCCAACATAATTCTCAATAATTGGGTCCCAGGTGACTCAAATTTTATGGTATAGGCTCTAGGAAACACTGCAGCTTGTTTTTAGCTTCTGCTCTGCTGCTAGATTTTGGTGAGAAGATACTCTCTGTTTCTCTGAATATCTATTTTACCCACAAACTTTTTACTTTCATTATGGTTCGTAGTAAACATGTAGCACCAGCTCAGCATTTTAAAGTGCAGTGGGGTAGGGTAGTTTTTGTATCAGCTATGAGCCAGAAATGGAACTGGAACCTAATTAATATCTATGTTTTTATTGTAAAATGAATACCATACATCTAAAACGCCATCACATTGTGTTAGATAGCTGCAACTTCTATATATTCATGGCCTAACTTTTAAGATTTATATGCCTCTTGAAGAGAAAATGTTCATCACTACTGAAAGTTTAATTTTCTATTTTTGGTATGGTCTCCTTTCTGCTTCCAAACATTATTCTTCTTAATTTTATCTATCACTTTATTAGTGTGATACCAGATTCTTTAGAGATGAGAAAAGTGTATTGTAAAGTGTAGGCTCTTGTGTTTTTAGGCCTTAATTGTACAATTCTTGCCTTAAAGTACTCAAATTGGGCTAAAGAACCTGGTCCTCTATGAGTTGGCATTAGGCTATTGTTACAGGCCCTCTTCCTACTCTATATGCTTCATACTCTCTTGGGGCAAATATCTCTCCAATAGTCTATTAGATATCTCCATCCAGTTTAAATCCTGGCTCTGCCCCTTACTAACTGTAATCTTGGGCAAGTTACTCAACCTCTCATTTTCTTCATCTCTAAAATAACCATATAGTATTATTATGAGGACTTAATAAGTTAATACATATAAAGTGGCTAAAACAGTGCCTGAGACATTGTATGCACTATATAAGCATAAACTATTGTTGGTATTCGCCTTTGTATTCCCACACCTAGCACAGTACCTACCACTTAGGGTACCAACTTGTTACCTACCACATGCATTAACTAATTAGCTATGAAATGAATGTTGATACCTAGTTACTAAGTCCTAATCATCACCCCAAATTTGTAACATCTCATCAGCACCAGCCCTTAAGCCATCATCATTCTTATTTAATATCTACTGTGTATAAGGTATTGGTGCCTTAGGGATACCATCATGAGCAGATATGGTGTTTACCCCCAAGGGAATTATATAGCAATAGGAAAATAAGACACAGCAAAAAATTACTGTGACACTAAACAAAAGGCGGTAAAACTTACAATGAGTTTTAGGATGTCACAGATAGGGAAGAACAAAGGTGTGGTATTTCTCATTTTTGTCTGCAGGGTACTGAAGAACAGTAGGAATGATCTTATGTTCATCATATTGACAAATGTGATAAAAAAACAAGGTAAATGGGTATATTTTTAGAAACATGAATAATAATTACGGCAATATATTTGACATTCAAAAAATATTGCTGGGCTAATGGAAGTGAGAGAGTGACTTAAGCTGCTACTTCTGACCAAAAATGCCATTTGACTGCTCATGATATAGCCACTGGCTTAATTTTTTTGAATGGCTTCCTCCAGTCTCTAGTTTTCACTTATGTCACTACATTGCTTTCTTCCTTTTTTTTTTTAAAGATTTTATTTATTTATTTGATAGAGACATAGTGAGAGAGGGAACATAAGCAGGGGGAGTGGGAGAGGGAGAAACAGGCTTCCCGCCAAGCAGGGAGCCCGATGCAGGGCTTGATCCCAGGACCCTGGGACCATGACCTGAGCTGAAGACAGACACTTAATGACTGAGCCACCCAGGCGCCCCCATTTATTTATTTCTAATATCATACCCCATGTTGATTTTTTTTTTTTTACAAGTGGATCAGTTTATTAAGTAGGAAGTGAAGAAAGTGGGGCACAAATAGAACTATGCAACACCCAAACTGAACCGAATCTGAGATTCCTGAAAAAACATCTGTCAGTTACACAATTGGCCACTTCCTCCCCCGCTGATACAGGGGCTTGTCAGGGGAGTCGTGGGAATAAGTCAGGTAGCAGGACCGGTAGTTGCTCCTGGGGCTGGGAATGGTCTCTGTGTAACTTTCAAGGCCAGGTCTTGGACTCAGGATCGAGACTTCATAGCAGATGCCGCCAAACCCAGCAAGATGGCTGCGACCGTGAAGCCCTGGGCAGCGATTCGGGTGCGCATCATGAGCTGAGAGCAGTGGCTCTGACCCCGATGGAAGCAGTAGAGGCCGTAGGTTAGGGCGGCCGCCGTGCCCAGGCAGCCTATGGGTACCATTGGGTTCTCGCGGGTCTTGCGAAGAAATTTTTCCTTGAAGCTTTCTTGAGTGCTGTAGATACTGGGGCTAAAGCCCTCAATGACTGGGGGCTGTGCTGGTTCAAAGGGTGCCCCGGGAGTCACAGGACCAGGAGCCGCCATGTTCTGGGCAACTGCTTTGGGAGAAAAATCTCTCCATGTTGATTTTTGACTCTTGGACCTGATAGCATTTGCACCTTAGATTAGGACCATAAAAACACAGTGCCTGGGTGGCTCAATCAGTTGAGCATCTGCCTTTGGCTCAGGTCATGATCTCAGGGTCCTGGGGATGGAGCCCCACATCAGGCTCCCTGCTCAGTGGGGAACCTGCTTCTCCCTCTCCTTTGCTTCTCCCCTCCCCTCCCCCTTTTCTTCCCTACCCCCTTCTCCCCTCCTCTCCCCTCCTGCTCATGCTCTCACTCTCTCTCTCTCAAATAAATAAATAAAATCTTTAAAAAAAAGGACCATAAAAAGACAATATTAAGATGATCATTTCCTTTTGTAAACAGGGAAGATTTTTGCAAATATTAAATGTTAAAAATTTTTCACTTTTCCCCATACAAATCATGTTTCCTCGCAGTTGTCCATTTCTAGTCTTTGCCATGAGAATTTATGTGCTGGGAAGAAGAAAATGGGAATTACCTGAAACAGAAAAAATGGATTGAGTCAAATCATGGTTAACTTTCTTGAGTCGGGTAATTGCCTTGAAAGGCAGGCTTTGTGCAGAGAGAAATTTCATTGCTTTCCTTTTTTTTTTTTTCAGATCTATTTTTTAAACTTTTATTTAGAAATAAATTTAAACTTACATAAAAGTTGCAAAAATAGGACAGAGTTCTTAAATACACTTCAGTTTCCCCTAATGTTAACATTTTACATAACCGTAGTAAGTTTATAGAAGCCAGGAAATCAA